ATTTTATATTTATTTATATTTACTGTATTTTATTTTATTTTACTCAATTAATAGGAGTGTTGCACCAAGTGGTATTTCATACACGCCAATGATTGAGATCAAACATGAGAGGTTTCATACAGTAATTTCAGAATTTCCATTGCACTGGCAATGGGTTCGGTGTTTGACCCATACTTCTATCAGCCCGGTTGACCACCCAGTGTAAACACAGCTGTTTTGATGCCCCCACTCACGGTTGCCTTCTGTCCGAGTCGCATTCGTGCCTAACCACAGACAACAAGGTGGAGGGGCGCATGCGCCGAGCCGCCGAGTTTGCAGTGCTGCCAACTGCACTGCAAAGCGGAAGCACCATGGCAGAGGCCGGAGCAGCCAAGTCAGTTGCTTTTCGAGGCTCGTAGGATACGCACGGCTCTGGCGGTTCAGAAAATGCGGAAACTGAGTGTACACTGAGTGCTGTAAGTGAGTGCTGTGCTGGGCTTTGAGTGCGAGCGGTTCGAGTACGAGTGCGAGTGCGGGTACGAGTTCAAGTGGCATTCGCCTCGCATGTGTGGTGAATTCGCATAGTCGAAGAGCGCGCCAAAGAGAGCACAGAATCCGAGAATCCGAGAAACGCAACGAAGAGCTTGACTCGCTGTCTGGTGGAAAAGGCATCGCAGTCAATGCGAATCTTTGCACGCGTGCAGTTGCCTGGACAGGATTGTTGAGTGAGGTTGTGAGTGCGCGCTTGTGCTCGGAGTGTGCCGGCTATTAAAGTAAATCGCCAGCATCATAAAATCAACAAATCATCAGCATTTAGTTCTAGCTATCACTACACAACATTGGTGCCAAACGACAGGGAAAAAGTGTCTAAAATGTAAATCCGTGCGACAGTGCAACTCAATTCGAATCAAAATTGCGTGAGCCGAAAATCAATCTTTGCCAATTCAACAATACGAAAATCAAAGCAAACCAAACCAAACCAAACCAAAACAAAACAAAAACAAAGGAAAACAAAAAGAAACGATAAGTGAAACTAAAATCAAAACAGGAAACCGAAGAGGAAAGCATGTGGATTAGTAGCCGCCTTTTTGTGATTTGTTTGCTGCTCAGGTTTGGTAGGTGTAACTCGTCTTGCTTTTTACCCTTCCCCCTCTTTCCCTACCTCTTACTCCATGCCACCAGGATTACTTTGCCGCACCGCTCGGAATGCGCCGCAAAGTATGCTTAGATTTGTGCTTGAGTGTGTGCTTCGAATATCTATCAACAGCTGTCGGCAAATATTTTCCTTTTACGCGCTCCAAAACTTATTATTCTAAAAGGCGCCCAGTCTCATAAGGCTTTTCAGGGATTTAACGGGTTCTGAGCGCAAACGGCAAAAGCGTGCAGACTTTTAAGCCCTTGCGAAATTTAATATGCCTTAAAAATATATCAAATTCCAGCAATGCTTAATTAAACCTCATATTCCAGCCATATTTTATTCGGTTAAACATATATAGTGCAGTCTCAAGACATTCCCAAATTTGTGTAGTCTTTTGCTGAGGCCTAAGCCTCGCAGCTACATAAATCATAAGAGCTCGCATGAATACAAACGTTCTCAGTCCGAGCGAGAGGGAGAGAGGTGTTAGCATAATTTATGAGCCAGCATTTACTCTACGAACTAAGTGCAAATGATTTGGTCCGTTTATGTTACGTCAAGCCCATAAAATGGCGGTCATAACAACAAAAACTAAACCAGCCAACGCGCAAACTGCGTATACATAATATGAAATTGCCTTATGATAAAAACCCAGGCGTCAATTTATGCCAAGCAACTTGAGTGTGTGTGCTTGTGTGTGTGTGTGTGTCAGTGTGCCAGTGTGTGTGTGTGTGTGTGAGTGGACTAATGAAATGTGTCAGAAGCAGAGCACTCGATCGAACCACAGTAGACCCATCAAATCGTTCACACATACACACACACAGAGAGAGTCTGACACACACACATAAAGCAGCTTTTAGAAATTTGATATTTTCCAATTTTCATTGCCTGACTGTTTTCATATTTATGATGGCTTCGGCAATAGCAACTGACATACCTATAGATATACCATGAATACATATACATAGTATGATTTCGCACTCTAGCCGAGCTGCGAGCAAATGAAAAATATGCAAATGAAATTGTTGCTCAATATCTGAGGGGCATACTTCTTTTGGTTTTCGTTGTTATTTCATTTTCATGCGGATAAAAATAAACATAAAATCTAATGCGCAACACAAATTCAGCATGGAAAACAACAGGAATTCGATTATGCTGAAAAGTCTATAGGGCCTAAACCAAGCGAACTTAACCCGCAAAGTGGTTTGCCCGCAAAACTGTTACAACAAAATTATGGAATATTTATATTGGCTCCACACGGGCTGTTGCTCTCCCAGATTGATTGTATTTTAAATCCTTTGTGACAAACGCTTTAATTTCGTGTGCGATTAATGATGCTCGCTTCGGCTTCCTGTCAAATGGTCTCCGGGGCAGAGGTCAGGCAGAGCGCAGCTGGCTCGAAATGGAAAAGAAAAATGGTTCTAGCCTCAACTCATCTCAACCTCTATGCACTGCTGTCGCTTTTTCTGTTCAAGTTTCAAAATATTATTTGTTTCAAAATTAATTTTATTTGCTGCTGAAATTTTATTCAATTTTAAACGGTGTAAAAAACGATGTCAACTTCTTTAGGAGTTGCGAATTCGCTTTGGGTTTTCTCGAAAATCAATTTGCGCTATAAACATTTAAAATTTCTCATTCAGCTGCCTTTTTGTTACGGATTTTCTTCTTTGCTTTATTTTGCTTTTGGTTCGTGTGCAAGTCGGCTTTGAAGGGGCTTAGGGCCATCTCTTTGGTTTCCCGTTGCTCCAACATAAAAAGTTATTTACAATTATTATTACTGCTGCCGTTGTTATTATTGTGCCTGTCTGAATGCGCGTTGGTCTGTAAACGTTTTAAGTTCTTTCAACTTTAGGCCAAAACAGTATTGAATTGGAAATACGCTTCGCTATGAGTGTTTGTGTGTGTGTGTGTGTCTSTGTGTTGACGTTTCCTTTGCTTGTTTTAGCGCATAAAAATTGAATTTCCTGTTTTCTGGGTTGATTACGCAGAGGGCACAGCCCATCATTTCCGGTGCCGGTACCAACTGGCAGCACTTCTGCTGAGTATTTCCGCGGCTGGGAAAGTCCTTTAAAGAGCTCGCCGCTGAGCTTTAATGCGCATTGGAAACTGTTAGTTTCGAGGCTGAGTGGGAATGCCTCAGGCTGTTTTACGGCTAGGCCTTTATACAGTACGTCTGCAGTATCATAAACAACAGAACTACACAGCTTGCACACACGCAAGGCCTCAAAGGAAAAAGAAATAATTTCAAAAAGTGCCAAAAGGGCATAATCCAGAGAAGAAGCACACAGTCTGAGTCGCCTCGCAAAGGCAAAACCAACCTCTCGAGTCGCCAAGTAGATGCGAAACACACTCATATTCCAAATGAAAGTCAGTGGAAAAGCGAGACGAAAAAGCCGAGCGGAAATTCGAAGAAAAGCTTTGAAGGATGCAAAAGCCAACCGCGGCTGCAGTTGCAGTTGCAGCTCCAGGAGTGCAACGAACTATCAGCCAGTTTGACAAGTTGTAAAATAGCAGCAGCTTTAATAGCATTATAAATAAATTAAGATAGCTCTGCGGATAGCGCGACTATGGACATCCGATATAGTTATATATATATACAAAACTTATCAAGATATATGAGCATAGTAAAGGAAATAATATAAAAGACAGTAGAAAATTTATGTACATTCGATATTTTTAGAGCGAGTTTTGTTGTTCTATGGGAACTGAATCGCATCTCATTCTTTGTGTGTCACACTCAATCCCTGCTGTCTTAAATTGTTTCATGGCTTTGGCACTAAATCCGCACAGCCCAAATCGTAAATATTCGCGTGAACGTCGAATTCGTCAGTTAAGCCGCAGCAATAAGCCCAAGTTGAGGTGCTAAAAGAATAAGACGACGCTGAAGCCGAGGATGGGGGAGAGGAAGACATACTTGGCTCGGTACACGGCATACAATGACAGGAAGAGCAGAGGCAGAACAGACGCACAGTAGCGCTCGCGGCGTAGACCCTTTGTTTTCACAGGAAAGAATAAAAAACCTACAAGTGGATGTATACACACACACTCTCGCACACACACATACACATACATATGCACATCAGCGAGCCTGGACACCCATGTGTGTGCGCTTTGCGGCACATGCTCGTAAAATATACCCTTTCTGGCCGAAACAAAAAATATACCGAGTGCCAGGCGTACTCAAGACATACTTGCAATAATTTTATGGCCTGGCAGAGGCCTCGTCCTGCTCGCTCCCGAACAGCGGGAGCCATGAAATCAGCGGGGAAAAGCGAAATGAAACGAAACGAACATGGGCCGGAGAGACGAGCAGAAAAATGAAACCAGAAAGAAGTAACATAAAAATCCATGATGCCAAGCATAAAACAAAAAGCGACTGGCCAGGCACAGCAACAACAACGACAACAACAACAACAGCAACGGCAACAAAAAAATATACAAAAGCAAAAAGAACAAAAACAACTCTAATTGCAGACACAATGACTTGGTGGTGCGGAACAGCCTAGCGAGCGGGGCAGGAGGCAGGGAGAGCGGTAAGAGGCTCCTAGTGCCAGACTTGAACGAGTTGCAAGGATTTGCAGAGCGCCGCAGGGAGAGCCGCTTGGGTGGCACTGACAGCCGAGGCGTATTCATGTGGAATTTGAAGCGAAATGTCAATTTTAGAAATACACACACAGCTACATACATATACAACACGAAATATATAACTGTGAGTGTGTATGTACATGTGTGTGTGTGTGCATGCATGAAAGAGAGAGCAAAGCATGGCGAAGCCATAGACAAAAATGTTATTCTTATTTAAGATAAGGCGCAATCTGTTTGCCAAGCGGCATGCAGGCGGACAAGTACATTGGAACGGGCTTAAATGGAAAGCTCGCCTGATGAAATATAGAAAGATTTCGAGCACCCCTCCTCTTTAAAGGAGTACAGTTGAATGCAGGCTAATGGAACTTTGAGAAATGAGAATTGCGCTATGAATTTTTGAGTGGCTCCTCATTTAATTGCATTTTAAGATATTTGCGTTTTAGTCTAAAATATCCAAATGCCCAATTTTTAAATGGGGACATTTAGAGCATATTTAATTTTAAAATCTTAAATATTAATAACACATATATAATATATAACTATATTATTTGTATTTTTTTTTGTTACAGATGCCACGATTAGCGAGCCCTTTGAAACACATTTGCGCGGCCCCGGCTTTGTCATGGAGCCTCCGGGTCGGGTTGAGTTCTCCAATTCGTCCGGCGGCTGGCTGGATTGCTCCGCCTCGGGCAGTCCCCAGCCAACGATCGATTGGGTGCACGCGGATGGCACGGCGGTTACGGAGATTCATGGCGTGCGTCGTGTGCTCCGCAACGGCACGCTCGTGCTAATGCCCTTTGCTGCGGCTGCCTATCATCAGGATATACATAATACGATATATCGCTGCATCGCCAGCAACTCTGTGGGCCGCATTGTGTCGCGCGACGTGCAAGTGCGGGCGGGTAAGTTTCGAGTCAGCCAAAATGCATCATATATATGTACATATATGTAGACTCACACATACATACGTACGTATGTGCGTGTGTGTTTGAGGCTTGCATATTTTTTGTATTTTCACATTTTTCGTACTTTTGCGGCAGTCGTGGCCCAGGCCTACAAAGTGGATGTGGAGGTATTATCCGCGTCGCGCGGCTGCACAGCCATTTTGCGTTGTGTGGTGCCCACGTTTGTCAAGGAATTGGTACGAGTGGTCTCGTGGGTTCATGAACCCGCTATCTACATCTATCCCTCGCTGCAAGGCGGTAAGTAACGCGGGTGCTCATACTTGTCTATCTGTCTCGCTATCTCACTGTCTGCGCGTCTGCGTGTCTGCTGCTGACGTGGCTTCAACTGGAGTCGCAGGCTCGGCCTCGGTGCTCGCCTGCATCCTTGTCCCTGTAGCGGCTTACCAAGCCAACAAAGTGCATTGTTTGTTTTCAGTATTTGCCTGCTTAACTACCATCGCTTTGCCTATATACCATAACGCGTATGTACGTGTGCATGTGTGCATGTGCTCGTACTCGTGTGGGTGTATTTAAGTATGCGTGTGTGTGCTATGCCCCATGCTTTGATGCATAATTAACATTGTCCTTTGGCAATTTGAGAAGAGCTTTTAACTTGCCTTAACCCTGCCCCAACAAAGGTGCAATTTTGTGCAGTGATAAGTAGTTAAGCCTTTGGCAAGCGCTTAGCGATGCAGCTTTCTAAGACACAAGTATCTTGCAGACTTCTTTAATGCATAAGATAGGCGACAGCAATTTAAAGTAGGCATATCCGTGTACTCAGACAACATTTCAAATTCTATGTGTACATTCATTATTAAATTACACTTGTATTTTCTAGTTTTCTAATAACTTCTCCTTGAATGCTATTGTTTATACATAAAAAAAGGATTTATGCTTATTCAAATGTGTTATTGTTTAAATATATAGATAGATCGCCTTTGTTCATTTTCAAAGTTTACTCATTCAACATAATTTTACACAAAACCATAAAGATACAAAAACTCAAGTTCATTTTTATGACATTTTATAAGTGCGATACTCTAATAAATCCTATGACTTTTATTTTTATTCATTATCTAAGAGTTTTTCTTTTTTTTTGTTAATATTATACTGCATTATTATTATTAATATTATAATTTTCAAAATGAGCGAAAAACAAACATTTAAAGATTTGCTAAATGTCTTATTTTCTACAAAAACTCAATGCTTGCTTATTTAAAATTATGTCTAAATCCTTTAAAATAGATATATCTAAATTTGGGCCTACCTCAAAGTACTACTTCTCTTATGATATCGTTACTTCGCTGAATGACATTCATACCAAAGGACATATTTTAATTATAAATTATAAATTCGTTCAATCATGACCACATTTTCTTATCTTTCTTATTTTGCCTTCATTATTGTAGCTTGTTTGCTTTTCTGTTTTGTGATATTCATATCTGCTGGGAATTTGATTTTTGAATAGCCATCAGTCAAGCCTGATTAAGTACTAAGATATAAATAATTGTATATTAATATTCCTACTAGATATATACAGGGTTTAAATAAGATCTACTAACTAAAGAAACTACTGATTATCTCCTCTGCTGATTTACCATTCGATATAGAGTAGAGTAGGGTAGAGATAGTGGTAGAGGAATCTCGCACCATTTTTCTTCATCAAAAAATATTCAATTGCTTGTGACCTTGAATGAGTATTACGTAGTCGGCAGCGTCCGACTCAGCTTTCATGTTATCTTTGAATAATCGCTTATTTTCCTTTTTTTCACAGATGGCAAATTCCATTTGCTGCCAACTGGTGAGCTGCTCATTCACAATCTGCAGGAGAGCGATGAGTCGCAATCCTTCCGCTGTCGCAGCATGCATCGGCTAACCCGTCAGGTTGTTGTCAGCTCGCCCACGCGATTGCGCATTAATTGTGAGTGACCCAATCACAGCGACTGCCTAATACTCAAAGAGACAGTCGCACACACTGTGCACAGGTGCATCGCTGCACAGGTGCACAGGTGCACAGCGCTAACAGCAAGACTAACCAATGTCAATCTCTACATCTCATACAGCGCATCGCGGCATCATCTCACCGAGCGTTGTGGAGCACACATCTCATGTGCAGGTTTCGCAGGACGAGGGCGCGGTGCTGCTGTGCGTGGCACAGGGTTGCCCTTCGCCTGAATACAGGTAGGTAGTAGGCAGGCGGGGGCGTAAAATCGGGTGGGGCGTAAAATCGATGGCACTGTCAGCCAGCTAGACACATTACAGGTGAAACTTTTGACGTTGACAGCGCTGCCTTTGTGTGAGTTAATTGGAACGCATATACATTCACACCCACACAGAAGGGTGTTGTGTGTGCGAGCGTTTAGGGCTTCCAAGCATATAAATAAAACTGTGGCCGCTGCAACATGGCCAGTGATTGTGTTAAATGTGTCGAGAGAGTTGCCAGCTTGCCATGGAACGCTAATTAAAATATGAAGTTGAGCGCCGTCTGCCTTAAAGTTGGACCTGAACTCGAGCACTAGACGCTGCTCTGATGTAGATGTGCGTACCGCGCGTGTGTGTGTGTGAAATTGTAGAGAATGAAATGTGTACATAGGACATGTGTTTGTGTGTGTAGCCGTTTAGCTGCTAGAGTAGGTGCAGGACACATGTGCACACATAATTACGCTTTGATAAGCAGGCAAGTAATAAAAAACTTTCGCTGCACGGCAGCCGGCAGCCGGCAACTCGCAACGGCAACCGGCAAACGGGAGCCGCCAGTAGAGGCAGCGGGGGCAGCGGCTGTAAATTTCCGAGATACAATGCCAGACTGTAAACGCGAAACAAAAGAATCTATGAGGGCAACCAAACCACTGTCAGATAGATGGATAGATTGCTGAGCAGCAAATAAAACTGCATAAAAAAAGAAGCAGAAAAATATAACTCTAGCCATTTCATAATTAATAAAGTCGGGAGACAGGCGGGTAGACAGCGACAGACACATTGGCAAATGAGCCAGCCATTGGGATTAATGCAACATTAAACAAAGGAAGAGTAGATAAAACATTCAGACACAGACATAGAAGCATTCTTGTGTGTGTGTGTGTGGGTGAAGCTTACTTTAATAATTTAAATAGTCGGATTAAGCTGGCGCTAAAATTTACGATCACATTTCTTGTAATCCGAATAATTCCTTCGGACTCAAGTGAATCTACCTAAGGACAGAGTCAGGCTTGAATTATATAAAATCTACAATATATATTTTTAACCACATTCATACTCTATTGCTTTTCTCTCCCCCAGCTGGTACACTCAAAACGGAGCTGGCCCGCTGCCTGTGCTGAGCGGGCCGCGGGTGCGACTGCTGGGGCCCATTCTGGCCATCGAGGCGGTCACTGGCGAGGACTCGGGCGTCTACAAGTGTACGGCCAGCAACGTGGGCGGCGAGGCCAGCGCCGAGTTGCGGCTGACGGTGGCCACGCCCATACAAGTGGAGATCTCGCCGAATGTATTGAGCGTGCATATGGGAGGCACGGCCGAGTTTCGCTGCCTGGTGACCAGCAACGGCAGCCCCGTGGGCATGCAGAACATCCTGTGGTACAAGGACGGGCGGCAGCTGCCCTCGTCCGGCCGCATCGAGGACACGCTGGTGGTGCCGCGCGTCAGCCGTGAGAATCGCGGCATGTATCAGTGTGTAGTGCGACGGCCCGAGGGCGATACGTTTCAGGCCACTGCCGAGCTGCAGCTGGGCGGTAAGTAGCGAGGCCAAGAATTGGCAACAGCCGCCGAGTAATTGCAGCTAAAATATTTATATGAATATCCGCAACCACACTGGCCTTGCAGATGCGCCGCCCGTGCTACTCTACAGCTTCATCGAGCAGACGCTGCAGCCGGGACCCGCTGTTAGTCTCAAATGCTCCGCAGCCGGCAATCCATCCCCGCAAATTTCATGGACACTGGACGGATTTCCTCTGCCATCAAACGGAAGGTAATTGAACTTGTTGAAAACGGGCTCTGCCTAGTGCGCTGCCGGTGGGTGGAGCTCGACTATTGCCAACTCTGCGGGTGGCACCGCAACTGAAAAAATAGAGGAAAAATGAACAGAAACAGAAAAATGCGGCGGAAGCTGCATTTATTGCGCTCGTTGTATATATTTTTCTCTTTTTGCATTTTTTTTAGCATTTGGCTTTTAAAACATCGCACGTATAGAAAGTAGCTCTGTCGGTTGCCGACGCCGACGCCGACGCCGAAGTCAACGCCGACTGCCATTAGTCGTGCCTAGTGAGTGCGCGGCTCGGCGCCGGCTTCAACGTTCATTCACTCTTTGGAGGGGCGCAGCCACTGGCAACGGTCTAAAGACTTTGCACGGCCCACTCCTGTGTCTGGCCAAGGTTCTGGCTTTGGCTTTCTATTTGTTAATTAAGGCTCGGCAAGTGTGTTGTTTGCCTTACGCATTTAATTACATTTTTAGTCTGGCCCAGAGCCAACATCCAATAGAAATTGCCAATTGCCAACTGGCAATGGCAACTGGCAAATGGCAACTGCTTATTAAATTCCCAGTGGCTCTTTAATGACATTGACATTTGCATTCAACGGTCAAGCGCTCCAAGTAGTTGCCTCTATTTGCCACAAACAAATAAAATGCAACAGCACATCGATTGATTGGCTGCCTCTACTGCAGCTCCCACTCCCATTCCCATCCACCCTCCTGGGCTGGCTTTGATGGCGCTGCTTTGACATTGTCACTGGCATTTCATCTGATTTTTACTACGGCATTCTCCACTCTGCACTCTCCGGCCGCACTTCATTTTCAGTTTGTTGCCAGCTGCCACTAATTGTTTGAGTTACGTCTGTAATGATTTGCAAGTCAAAGTTGGTCCGTTGTTGACTTCTGTTGTTGATTAAAAATGGCCCCAGTTCGTTTTATTAACATTGACTTTGGCTGTCATTTAGTTCGTCTGTTTGCTGTCCAATAAAAAAATCATGGCTGCGCTTCAGCTCCCAACTGCACTCCGTTGCAGCTGCTGTTTTTAATTAAAACTAATGCCATCTGCTGGCCAAAGAGCACGTTGAAAGTTACAAAAGTGTTACATAAATATGTATGTATATATATGAACAGAAGCCCGTCTTGTTTTTTCTCTTAATTTGATTATATACTGCATATATTGAATATTCCTATATCCCATCTGTGATAGCATTTCATCTATTCAATTCTCGCTGAAGAAATTCTTTTTATTTATTTCATTTAAAAAAAAAACAAATTGCCAGCAGTCTGACCTGACGGTTATTGAGGGAATTGCTCTCATCAGCCACATCTGTCACTCTTCAGCTGCATATCATGCGCTGGCTGAACTTCAAAATAATCAAAAACATTATTCATGTAAGGAGCTTGAGACTTTGCCATGAATATGTTTTATTCAAGGGCTGAGCTCTTTCTCGCTGAGCTTCATTTGAATATGTCCAGCACTTTTTGAGGAGTTTGGCCGACCACAGGGCACAAATTGATTACAAGTATTTTCGAGTGGGCAGTGCAAAAGTTTGCCCAGAAGTTGCCGACACTCTGGGTGCCTTCGTCGCCCTTGGCTTCAATTTAAAAGTTATTTAAGCAACACAATTTTGACAAATAATGCCATTAGGCATTATACTCCCCCAGATGCCCGTATTGAAGGCGCTGGGGCAACCCAATTTCCAACTGCAGACATTTCGTTGCTTGTCGCTTGTCGCTTGCTGTAATTGCCGAGTTTTAAGTGGTTTACATTATTTGGTTTAAAGGTATATCAACTCGGTAACTGTATTTATTTAATACACACGCAGACAGCCAGCCAGACAGTCGAGCAAACAGGCTGACAGACAGCGAGTTTGGCAAGAAGACAGAAAGACAGACAGACAGACAGGCAGAGAGACAGCCAGCCAGGCAGGCAGCTGGCAATGCGGGGGCTCTGCGAGCAGGAGGCGAGCTGAGGCTGACGCTGGAGCTGGAGCTGACGCCTTGGGGCGGAAATTAAATGATTGCGCGCACGAGGTAACGCAACACTCAAACGCTCATTTTACGCCATTTGGAGAAGTTTGTCTGAGGCATGTAGCATGTGGCAGCATTGAAGGCGTCGCCGCTTACTCGCTCGGCATGTGTGTGCGCATGCTGTGCTGCGCTCGTCTACAGCTGCAGGCTGTCTGAAGCGTGCATGTGTATGTGTAATTTTGGCTTGAATTATTCAGCGTTAAGTGCGCCCCAAATAGAAAGTTGTGTATAAGTTTATACAAATAAGCAACGCATTTGCCTATTGCCAGGGTCATTGCAGAAATTTCAATTAAAGCTCAAGCTTCAGCTCTTAAATACATTGCAGGCAAGCGCCATTGAGAATCACCGACTGCTTAATACTCGTTTACGGTGTGATTATAATTGCATTTACTAATCATATACTCCTTACCTTTAGGTCTATCTGTATAATAGGTCTAAAATGTATAATATGCGATATATCGATTATCGTCGTAAAATAGTTGTCAAAAGTTGTGAAATTAATAGCCTTAATATCGGTAAAGTGGCCTTTGTCCAGAGAGAAGGACGGATAGTTAGGTTTTAGTTATTAAAGTAATTTTTTTCTTCATTTATTGTTTTTCCTGCTGTACATACTATTATTCTAGATAGATTTATATTCTTTTGTTTTCAATGATTTATTTCTTTTTATATAATTATAATTGTTTTATATAATTATGATTATATACTTTTTTCCCTTTGCAAGCTTTTGCAATTCCCTTAGGAAGTAATCGTAGATTTTACATGAATAAATATTTACGTAAGTTCTTTGCATTTGGAATACGTGCTCTACGTATATATTCATCAGATTATTTGAAAATATTTTAGGAACTCCCTTCACTAAAATAACAGAGGAGTTAATTGAAAACTGCCCACTGTGTATAAATTTATGTGAATATTAAGTAAACACATTTTAAGTAAACACAGAAACACTGAAATGCTGTTTATTAATAACCATATTAAATTTAAAATTATATTAAAATTAAAATGATAACTTACCATACATTTAATTTTGATTCTCACCAATAATTTAAATATATATTTTTTCGTGACTTATATCTTTTTTAAACCCGACATGCTTAGCCTTTTGTCAAAGCTCAAAAGTTTTTAACTTAATTTGCCCTAATCGACTTTATATAAATTTCATAAAGCATTGAATTACATTAGGGGCATAATAGGTGTCCTCTTAAGAAATTCGTTATCTGTAAAAGTTATAAGCGCTCTCATATAATCCATTTAACCGTCAACGAGCTGCAGTGCGCCACGTGGAATCTCGGTTCAGACAAATTGAAATTCATAATTTTGTAAGTTTGCAGACAAACTTTTTCACTTCGCACTGAATCTTAAGTTGTTGCAACAACTACTTTTATTTTTGTCGAAATTAAGCCACCTAAAAGCTTGCACAGGAGACACACACACTCACACACACACACACATAGCCAAACACCGACACACGCGGATTTACACAACAATCAACTAAAACAGCACACAAAAGCTGCGCCAACTATTAGGTTTATTTTGTTGCAACCAAAGCGCTTTATGCCACAGCCAATCCCGTCCCGGCCCCTGCCTGATGCCCCTTCCCACACCCGCTGCCGACTTATAAACTCAACCAGACATCTCACACACTCGCTTCCGCTTAAAGTTTCGTAATGGCGTTTAAGCTGCCACTCCATGGCTGGATGATGCGGGGCCACTTTCGTTCTGCCATCTGCGGATGTGTGCAACTTGCAACTTTGTTGCAATTTTGTCCCGGCATTGTTTCAATGCGCTCAATTGTTGCAGCTAGCAGCCATGTCCATGGCTGAACATTTAGGGATATGAGTGGGTCTGTGTGTGGGTGCTTGTACGCCTGAGTTTTGAGCAGCTTCATTTTCATTTAACTACAGTTGTTGTTTTTAACAAGCGTCGCGCGACGCTCGTGGGGCACGGCCACTTTATAGAGTGGCAACCGCCAGCCGCTAAGTTTTTCCGTTGACTTTGTCACTTTCTGGGGAAATCAGCGTCCGAGAACCAAGTGCATTTACGATCGCTGTGCAGCCCGCGCAGGGCTTGGCCCGGACAGCTGCAAAAGTTAATTAAAATTGTAATTACTTTGCCTGCTCCATCTCTAATGCCAATTGAAATGTTGATAGCGCGTCGCCCGCAAACTAATGAGCCACTGGATGCGATGCTTCGCTTCCTAGCGAGAGCCCACAAAGCCGCTTGTGTCTGTGTGTGTGTTAGTGTGTGTCTGTGTGTGTGCCATATGGCGAATGCGGAACATTGTTAGCTGTAATTAATGTATTCGCCAATAAGACGGCTTGCAAACAAATAGACTTAAGCCAGCTTGAGCGCTCATAAAAATCCTTTTTTGTTTTTGTTTTTTGTTCTTCATTATTTGCCATGACAACGTAATGGGCGCATTAAGTGGAGCTCGACTGTGATGCCTATTTGGCTGTGGCTTGTGGGCGTGGCACATGACATTGAAAGCAGAGCAGAAACTGTGCTAAGCCTGACAGCTTGTCAGAGCGACAGAACGACAGAGCGGCAGAGCAACATGGAGGCAGACTTCATTACATCTAAATAATGCAATGTTACGTATACGCCGTGTTGTGTCGAAAACAAATGAAGCCCAGAGCCAAAGCAAAGGATTTGGGTCAGCCTGCATACGAGATGCGGCTCGTTGAGCTTGTGCAAATATGTGTGTGTGTGTGTGAGCATGTACAAGGGCTCGTACATGGCTCACTAATATGCATGTAGCTGCTCGTTAATGCCCCTGGCCTGCCGCTTAAATATGCAGCAAAATAGAAAACGAATACACGAGTATACGAATATAAAATGCATATCGCATTGCGCACTGCGCGCATTCTGCGTGTGGGCCATTCAAATGTTTTTCGTACTAATGCATCTGTTCTCATGGTATTTCTCTGTCTTCTTTTCGCAGATTTATGATCGGACAATACATCACCGTGCATGGAGATGTAATTAGTCATGTTAACATAAGCCATGTCATGGTCGAGGATGGCGGTGAATACTCCTGCATAGCCGAAAATCGTGCGGGTCGAGTGGAGCATGCAGCTCGCTTGAATATTTATGGTATGTGCTACATTCGCAAATCACACACAACTGTCTCTGCATATGTATGTCTCCCTCTCTCTCTCTCTCTCTATATATATGTGTATGTGTGTGTGTAAACAGCTAATTTACACATGCACTTAAACGTTTTTCAGTTCTCTCAGTTTTTGTTTGTATTTTTGGTCTTCTCTTTTCGGTGATTTTATGTTGCCTACTTTTGTGCACCATTTTCTTTCCCTTTTTTTCTCTTTTACATCGCTTTTGCTTTGTTTCCAACACTTCACTCTGTGCGCCTTTCTCGCCTATCTACGTATGTATGCAGTATCTGGCTGCAGTTTGCTTTGCAGCTCTAAAGTGTTGTTCAAGGCGCATTCCCCCTTGTGCACACAAGCAGAGGGCCTCGTCTCGCTGAGGGCCTCGTCTACCTTGTTTTTGCAAGAAATCAAATATTTTTGTGTCGCCGCGCAAACAAAATGGCGTTGCCAAGCGGAGGGAAGCGCAAGCAAAATGACAGCAGAGGAAAAATAAATAAGAACTGCGCCCAACGCTTTCGCTTAAAGTTAAACATGAAGCAAAAGGCATTCCCGACTTGTCGATGTTAAAACAACCTGCGAGTCTATATGATAAGACAAGCACTATTTGATAATCATCAAATTGTTGCATATATAGTATCACGTATATATATTTAGTCATTAGTCATCAGACATATTCAAAGTGTATGAGGTTAATCAAATAAATCTTCATTAATTCATTTTACAATTCTCTTAAATTTGCATATACATAATTTATGTATTTATGATATGCTCACATTATGATTCAGATCATTCGAAAGTCATCCTTTCTCATCGACTTTCCTATGCCAAGCTGACTCTAGTCAGAACTTCTGCTTTACTTCGCATAATGCAAGTATCTCAAAGCAGCGCCTCATCCTGCATGAATTCTCGCAGTGTCGCTGATTACGCGACTTGGTAATGGCGGTGATTACAAAAATCTCTGGCGCGGGTGCAGACAGCAACACCAAACTGCTCACGTATGACATGCTAGAAAATTATGCATACTCCGCAGAATCCACAAGCACCAGCGTAAGCAGCAGCCGTAGCAGCGCACCAACAACGTGTTGTTGTTGTTGCTTGGCGGCATTTGCTGCATTGTTTCCTTCCGCATTCTGCAGGCACAGAGCGAAAAGCGAAAAGCGTTTCGGCGGCTCTGCTTAGAGAGTCAGCCTCAGAGTCGGAGTGACGGCTGCCAGGATATGCATATTACATTTGCGCTGCTTCCTGCCTTTCCTTTTGCTTTGCTTGTTTGCTCGCTGTAATATTTGCTGTTTGCTGCATTATTAAATGAGCAACGTGTACACAAATCTGTTAAGCACTCACGTTTCTCAACCGCTCGCCCCGCAGGTCTGCCCTACATACGCCTCATCCCCAAGGTGACAGCTGTCTCGGGCGAGACATTGAATCTGAAATGCCCCGTCGCCGGCTATCCCATCGAGGAGATACACTGGGAGCGCGGCGGACGCGAGCTGCCCGACGATATACGGCAGCGCGTGCAGCCGGACGGCTCGCTGACCATCAGCCCAGTGCAGAAGCACACCGACTCCGGGGTCTACACGTGCTGGGCCCGCAACAAACAGGGTCACAGCGCCCGGCGCAGCGGCGAGGTGACGGTCATAGGTTAGTATATCTTTGTGAACTGCCAACTGTCGGCCAGTTGGCCAGTCTCCTCCACAGCTACAGCTACAGCAAGAGCTACAGCCGCAGCCTCAGCTCACAGTGCGGATTGGATGACAAGGGAACAGACAAATGAAAGCTCCGATGACGTCGAGTGCAAATTACATTTTAATTATTAACAGCAAATTAAGTAGATTGTACGGTGCTTTAAGTTTTGATTTCGCTTTTAATTTTGGCGCGTATGCCGCATCTGCTTATACCCTTATTAAATATGCGCAATAATCCCAGCTTAAAAGTTTGTAAATTTAAAAAATGAAGAAGAAGAAGCAAACCAAAGTGCGGAGGAGTGCGAGTCAGCGCATTTGCTGATGGCGGCGTGGCCAGCGACCCTTTTTTTATTTTTTTTCTTTTTCAGTTTTATTTTTATTTTAATTAATGAATGCGCGGGCTAATGAAGCGCAACGTTAATTAAATGTTGATAATTTGTAACCTTTTTCCGAGATTTGGTCCGTCGCTGCCGCAATCAGCGGGCCGCAGTTAAAGTTTTCGTAATTACATTGATTGCTGGCTCAGCGGGGCGCTCCTCCCGCTTCTATCACTCATGTTTGCCTTGACCCAACCACTTGCAGTGCCGCCGCGTCTCAGTCCGTTCCAAACGTCGATACTGCAGCTGAACATGGGCGATCGCGCCTCGCTCACCTGCTCCGTGGTGAAGGGCGATCTGCCATTGACCATCAACTGGCGCAAGGACGGCCGCCCCATCGACCCCACGCAGCACATGTCCGTCAAGCAGGTGGATCAGTATAATAGCATTCTGGTCATTGACCACCTGGGCAGCGACCACACGGGCAACTACTCGTGCGTGGTGCGCAACTCGGCGGCGGAGGTGGAGAACTCGCAGGCGCTCCTGGTGAACGGTAAACAACTGAGCTGTGAACATCATTCACTCCTCTATAAAAAACACTATATATCAAGTATTTTACGAATATTATCCTTAGTTAATAGTAGTTGCGTTTTTCGTATGCACTTTGTTTAATGTAATCAACAACATCACTAATGATCGACAATCGAAATTTCACTTGTCCTGCAACATCCTTATACATAAACATATATATATTGTCTATAATATATATACATTCATATAATTGTAAATTGTGTTCAAGAAACGGCATTAGCTATTCCATATATTGTTATGAAACATATCGTATATCTTTATAAATCACTTTCACTTCAAGTTCTGGAATGTTTGTACAACCAAGTAATATACTATTTCGTAGAGTTTAACAATCCTTTAACAAATCTGCGAAGGTTTAGCTGTACATATGAATGTATGTATGAAATTTAAATTAGGAAACATCCACAGCAACAGCAAATAGCAACAGCAACAGCAAACAGCAGCTCAGCGCGGGATCAACATCAATTGAAGGATTGGATTCCGACGGTTGCAGACTCTTAGGTCTGGCAGTGAGATTTGTTAACATTTCTGGTTGCTCTTTCCTTCTTGCAGTACCGCCGATCATAGAACCGTTCGCCTTTCAGGATGGCCTGGCCGAGGGCATGCGCACGCGCACTGTCTGTGGCGTTTCGCGCGGCGATGCGCCCTTGAAGCTGATCTGGCTTAAAGACGGCGAGCCGCTGCCCGAGCTGCTGGGTGCGAATATCACCATGCTCGATCAGTATAGCTCGCTGCTGAGCATTCCCTCGCTGTCGGCCTCGCACTCCGGCGAATACACGTGCGTGGCCAAGAACCCGGCAGCTGAGATCAAATATACCGCTCTGTTGCAGGTCAAAGGTAGCGTAATAGGTTACAAACCCATAACACAATCAACAACACTACTCCAATACACCAACACACCAATACTCCAACACTTTTGTCGCATTCAACACCTAACAGGATCTAATTAATCACCTTAAACTTTCACAACTGCCCCTAAATAATCATTTTTGCTTTCTCGCTGATGTATTCAAGAAAAGCGCTTCTTAATGGTTTTGAGTTTTTGATTTGATTCGTTTAATTTCTAAGAAATCAACTTTTTGATGCTTGTCCTACGCCCCACAAGCTCAATCGTAACTGAACGTTGCCAAACTCTTGGTGCTTTGTTTTTGACGGTTTCACTCTACCAAAATAACAACAAAACGAACAAAAAGATCATATAATCTAATAATAAACAAGACAAATCAAAATCCCAAATAAATCCTAATGCCAGAGATTGCCCAGCTTAAAACATCCACAAAATTATTTATACAAATCCTCATACCCTTAAGACGCTTTGGCACGCTGTGGGTTTTTTAACAACAGTCTCACCAGGTAACCTCATAAACTGCACTGCTTCTTATTCGCTTCGTAAACAGAACCGCAAAATTTGTTWTAAACATATATATATATATATTTAAGTATTCTCACCTATAATAAACCACTACATCAATTGACAAATGAGTTGCGATATTTCATTTACAACGCTTTTTATACCACTAGAGAAACGACGGCTTGCCGTGGTTGAAATGCGCTCTTTGAAAGAAGATGTTATACTGAAATGATGGTAGTTATCGAACTCTAAGTAATTGTAAGCATTTAGTATGAGATTGTATTAAAGAGTGAATCCTTTCACTCTTGCTTCCTTGGAAGAGCGCACGTCTCGAACATTTTACTCGAATTATAATTTATTCAAATGCTCATACAAAAACAACAATATGAAAACATTAGCTGGCTTAACATTAATTTGCTTATTCGCTTAATCCTTTTTGTTGCCAACTCTCTCGCTGTGTATAGAGTACGATGCATACGAATTTTGGTACCCATTCTTTTGATTTGTTTTTGTTACTGCCATTTTTTTTGGACTTGCAGCTTCAAAACTTAGCGCACAACGGCTGCTGTTTGCCCGCTCCCCCACCAAAAACCGAATAAAAATAAAAACGCTAACTAATACGAAACCAGAATTATTGAATGGCCAAGCCTTAGCTATAAATGTGCTGTGCTTAATTAACAAGAATATAAACTAACTGATAAAGCTGAATCAGCTATAAATCCACTGAAGACGCCCCGCTTATGCTTCAATTTGGCTTTGGACTCTGTTTAACTGCTGACACTCTGCGTATGTGTGTGTGTGTGAGTGTGTGTGTGCGAGTGTGTATGGCCATTTTCTCTATCCTGCTTCTGCGTGTATACATATGTGGGTGTGTGAGCTTTTTATTCTGCTCTCTAAATGCATAAGCATATTTTTTTTGCAGAATAAAAAGTACAGTGAAACCAAATTATAAACAATATATAAATTTAAAGCTTCGCAGTATTTGCTAATGTAGTTGACAATGTATGTACCATAGCAATGTGGCATGTTGTGGCAGCAGCACAATACTTTGCACGCTCCCTTCAATTGCATTTGTTTTTTGTTTTCTGCATGCAACTGTACATAATTTAGCTCAATTATTTTTTGCAATACCAGCTGCCAGCTGCCATTGCCATTGCCATTGCCACTGCCATTTGCATGCGCATAGTGCATAGTGCATAGTGCATAGTGCATAGTGCATAGTGCTTAGTAGAATGAGTTTTAGTTTCTTTTATTTATGATTTGCTTGCTCTCTGCTCTGTTCTTAAACGCAGTTGGCTCTCGATATTGTTTTCAGTCGTGCTGCGCCAAGCTTAAACTAATGCAAAATATGCATCCAAATTCTTTACAAATCTGATTTACTTGGCGAAACCGAGTCGAAAACTGTATCGAGAACACGTGTGTACATTGATTTGATTTAGTTTATATGCCCAATTACCCAGGCTGCTGTTGTGTGCAAAGATTTTTTCCAACTAGTCGCTATTAGCCAACGCGCTGTCGTAGACCCAGCCGAACCCGCTTTATGTCACAAGAGAGCCAACCCAAACCAGACTACAAACTGCTTTTTAAAAATGCTCTTAATTTCCTTTATGAACACACATTACTTTATTTCTTTTGTATTAATAACTGCTTGACGAGCAAAGGGCTGGCTAGTAAATGCAATTGTGAAAAAAAAACATTTATTGGCCTTATAAATCATCGAAATGCACTTCGCGGCCATGCGAGTGCGTGGGCGTGGCACATGCTTTTAAAAACTAATTATTGAAGGCCCGTTTGGTTTTTGTGTTGCGCAATCAAGTTTTTCATTTCCATCTGCGTGCTTAACAATAAAACTCATATAATCGTGCATATAAAACATTTATGTCCTTTCTGTTGCAGTTTCATTTTAATGGCAATATTTCCCAATACGATCCTGGCATGCCTTTGACATTTATTTACCCCACCACAAGGGGAAGTTTTTCATTTTATTATTATTATTTATTTATTTTCATTTTTTGTTTTTTGTAACTTGTACAATAAACTGCGAAACAGCGAGCCGCAGAGCGTGGGCCCACAAACAAATATAAATTTAAAATACAAAGAGAAAAAAACAAAGAAAAAAGAATACAAAACAGAAACAGCAATAATAAAAATAATTAAAATATGACTAAAAAATCCTTGCACAACAACCAACCTCATTAAAGAGTTTACCTCACGGATCTTATGTAAAATAAAGCATCCGGCTTAAAGCATCGACTACTTAAATTATTTCCATTTTGATTGAGTTGCATAAAACCTTTTGTTACAATTACAATTATAAGTAAGATATGAACAGCCCAACTGTACATTAGTTGAATCTTTTTCTATACGCTACAAACCTTTCTATTACTCTCAACCAATTTGAATAGTCACAGAGCCTTATTTTGCCGTTTATACTTTGCCAGATATCTTCACTTTTCCTCTGCCTCTCTCTATCTATCTCTCTCTCTCTCTTTGTCTGTCTCTATAACTCTCAAATTAATACCTATTCTGTATGTCTTAGAGGACTTTTGATTTGAGCCTTTATCGAATTGCCAGTCACACATTTCTAATATTACGTATACGCTCTGTAGTGCCGCCCCGTTGGATTGTCGAGCCAGCCGACGCGAATGTGGAGCGCAATCGTCACATAATGCTGCACTGCCAGGCGCAGGGCGTGCCCACGCCCAGTATCGTGTGGAAGAAGGCAACAGGTCAGATATGTCAATTCGATCGACCCACATCTTTTTATTTAATATATAAATTAGATTAGAGCATTACAAATGTATGACTATATTCTTCCCTTGCAAAATTCTCGTATTCATCTTATTCATAGTTTATAGTCTCACTTCAGTATACCATATACATATAGAAAGAAAAGGAGAATAAATCGTGTCCATTTTAAATTTACGATTCCCATCAACAGGCAGCAAATCGGGCGAGTATGAAGAGGTGCGGGAGCGCCCATTTACCAAGCTCTTGGGCAATGGCTCGATGCTGCTGCAGCATGTGAAGGAGGATCGCGAGGGATTCTATTTGTGCCAGGCGAACAATGGCATCGGCACGGGCATTGGCAAGGTCATACAGCTGAAAGTCAACTGTGAGTATCAGGGGGATGTGCTAGATAGAACGAAAGTCGGCAATTTTCCTAATTGCAACGGCAATTGTGATTCGGGTGCATTTATATTGGCTGCAAGTGCAGCAGCAGCAGCTGCTGCTGTGGAGATAATTGAAATGTGAAATTTTGCATTTTGAATTTTGCAGCCTCCCCATACTTCTCCTCCACGTCGCGCTCGGTCACCGTTAAAAAGGGCGACACGGCTCTGCTGCAGTGCACCGTCAGCGGCGACAAGCCGATAAATATTGTGTGGATGCGCTCGGGCAAGAATACGTTGAATCCGTCAACCAATTACAAGTGAGTGTGAATGAGAGGTGTATAGCTCATGCTCTTACTCATTCGGCAATCTCAATCGTTGCAGAATCTCGGTCAAGCAGGAGGCCACACCGGATGGTGTTTCGGCGGAGCTGCAGATACGCACAGTGGACGCCACGGACAGTGGGCCGTACTTCTGCCGCGCCAGCAATCTCTATGGCAACGACCAGCAGCTGGTGCAGCTGCAAGTGCAGGAGCCGCCGCAGCCGCCCAGTGTGCTGGAGGCGGCCATGATCAGCAGTCGCTCCGTGAACCTCAAATGGCAGCCCAAGGCGCTCAGCACGGGCGACGTGTCCAAGTACATAGTGGAGTACCGCGAGGCAGATCGTAAGCATTCTACTGTGAATAGTTCCCCATCAAACTAGCTCTCTTTCCCTCTCTCTCTTCTCTATTTTCATATCTTAGCCGTTCTCTTCATCGACCAGTGGCAGCATTTGGAGGTCAAAGATCCGCCCAGCTTCAATGCATTGATTGAGAATCTGAAACCGGCGACTCGGTATGCTTTCCGGGTGATAGCCGAGGGCAATGCGGGACGCAGTGCGCCCAGTCAGGAGTTGATTGTGCGCACAGAGCCCCAACGACCCGCTGGGCCACCCCTGAATCTGTCTGCTCGCCCTCTCTCGTCCACGGAACTGCTGGTCAGCTGGGCGGCACCACTGCCAGAGCTGCGCCACGGCGATATCCAGGGCTACAATGTGGGCTACAAGCTGATCAGCTCGGGCAACTCGGCCTACAACTTTACGTCCGTTGCGGGCGACGGTGAGGGCGGCAATGGAGAGCTCCTGCTCAGTGGACTGTCGAAATTCGCGCGCTACAATATCGTGGTGCAGGCCTTCAATCAAGTGGGTCCTGGCCCACTGTCAGAGCCGATTGGGGCGCAGACTATGGAGGATGGTAAGCTCTCATTACTGCGACCTTCTCAAAGATGAGTATCAATACTTATATTTCTGCGTAGTGCCCAGTCGTCCGCCGGAGGATGTTCGCTGCGCTGCCCTGACGTCTCAGTCGCTGCAAGTCTCGTGGCAGCCGCCGCCAATTTACCACACGAACGGCCTGCTGCAGGGCTACAAGCTCATCTTCGAGCCCATCATCGACGACGTTATGCCCAACAAGGACGAGGTCGAGTCGCGCAAGACCACGGCCCTGACCACGGTGCTGACCGGGCTGCGCAAGTACACCAACTACAGCATTCAGGTGCTGGCGCATACGCGCATGGGCGACGGCGTCCTGTCCAAGCCGCTCTTCTGCCACACTGAGGAGGACGTGCCCGAGGCGCCGGCTGACATCAAAGTTGTGGTCAGCTCGCCGCAGTCGCTCTTCATCTCCTGGCAGTCCCCGACCGAGCCCAACGGCGTCATCACCAAGTTCAGCCTCTACACACGCGTGGTCAACGGCCGCGAGGAGCTGAACAACGAGAAGCGTAGCCTGCCCTCGCAGCAGGCCTACTACGAGGCCAAGAATCTGCATCCCCACATGGAGTACCAGTTCTGGGTGACAGCCTCCACGCGCGTGGGCGAGGGCAAGAGCTCGCGCGTTGCCTCCCAGATTACCACGAATCGCGTGCCGGCCAGGATCATCTCCTTCGGTGGCTCCATAGTGCGTCCCTGGCGCTCCACAGTGACGCTGCCCTGCACAGCTGTGGGCAAGCCCAAGCGGGAGTGGTTCAAGGGCGATGTGGCGCTACGCCAGGGCGGCCTGCACAACTCGCAGCTGCTGGACACCGGCGACCTGATCATCTCCAGCCTGCAGCTGGCCGACAGCGGCAACTACAGCTGCCAGGTGGACAACGGCATCGGCACGGACCGCCTGACGCACATGTTGCTCGTCCAGGTGCCGCCCTCTGCTCCCGTGCTCTACGTGACCAGCGCCACCTCGAGCAGCATTCTGATGCACTGGAAGTGCGGCTTCACAGGCAACGCCCCCATCACGGGCTACACCCTCTTCTACCGGCGCGCCACGGGCAACACCGAGGAGATGCAGCTCTCCCGGCACGCCTCCAGCCACGAGCTGAAGGGCCTGGTCTGCGGCAGCACCTACCAGATTCATCTGAATGCCCACAACAAGGTGGGCAGCTCTCCGGCGAGCGTCATGCTGCACGTGCGCACCCAAGGCCAGGCGCCCGGCATGCCGGCGACCACGAGCTTGCTGGCTCCTAACTCCACCTCGGTGCTGATCCGGCTGCACTCCTGGCCCGACAACGGCTGCCCCTTGATGTACTTTGTGCTGCAGTATCGCCCGGTCACAGACGACCCCGACAAGGAGTGGATTTTAGGTGGGGACAACCAACTCAAGTGGCAGCTAACAAGACTATGATTGACCACATTTCATTTCCCCCTTAGTTTCCAATGCCCTGAAGCCCCAGCGTCGCGTCGTCATCTCCAATCTGCAGCCATCCACGCTCTATCAGCTGCGCATGGAGGCGCACAATGTGGCGGGCGTGTCCCAGGCCGAGTTCAGCTTCGTCACGCTCACCAAGGACGGCGACCCGCCCCCGCCGGAGATTGTGCAGCGCGGCCAGCGGGGACCGAGCGTGTTCTACGGCAACGTGAACCTGCTCATTCCGAGCATTGCCGCCGTCTCCGGCATGATTTGCACCATTGCCTTGGTTATCATATGCTATCGCCACAGTAAGTAGAGCGCGTCTTACGCCAAGCACCTCACTGAGTGTCTGCCCTTGCTCGCCCAGAACAAAGCAACCACATACAAAAGGAGTCGCTGGAGAACCGCGCCAACTCTGAGGCGGCGCAGCGTGAGCGCTACTATGCGACCATCCACAAGGTTTCCATGCAGAACAATGACAAGATTCCGGGTAAGTGTCAGCGCTCAATCAGTTGACACGGCCAAGCTCTAAGCCCGGGGCTCTTCCACAGAAACCTCTGAGGACATTTCGCCGTACGCCACCTTCCAATTGTCGGAAGCGGGCAACATGTCACAGCCGCATCATGCCGGTCCGGCCAACACGCTGCTGCACTCGTTCATGTACCACGAGAGGGCTCTGGCCGAGGGCTGCTCGTCGCCACCACCAGCTGCGGTACTAAAACCAACCACCACCCATCACCACCACCACCACAACCAACGTCCACAAAAGACAATTCATAATTATTATCAAACCTCACCGTTTCATAATATCGTGCGTTTGTTTATTCATTTCTTTGATTTTAGCTCTCTTTCTCTCTCTCTCTCTCTTCATCTGTGCCCCTCTCCAGTCTGTGGGGGGCACTAGACCTACAATTAGTGTGTATTTTTCCATAGAATACTACGTGCTTTTTATGTTGTTTAAGTCTGCTCGAGTCTTACGTTTATCTAAGTTCCCTTAAGTGCAATGCCGTCTACCGTGTGGGCATTGAGCGACGCGCTCTGCCTCGTCTCACATGTCAGTTTTTTGTTGGGCTTTAGTTGATCCTTTGTTTCGTTCGAGAGCGTTTACCATCCCCAAACGCTTTTGTAGTCGCTAGTCGAGCCTGGCGATCATTAACTCAGTCCCTGCTAATGTTATGCTTTGTTCTATGCGCAGTCCAAGAATCGACGGCGCCACTCACGCAAAACGGAGCCAGAGAGCGAGGAGTCCGAGTCCGACCAGGATCAGCTTACGTCCAGCCGCACCGAGTCTTCCAATCAGCACGAGGGCAAGATCAAGCACAGTAAGTCCATTGACCCTCTGGCCCTAGTCACAGCACCTGGCAAGTGTCGCATATGAAGGTCGATAAGATAAATATATATGTATGTACATTAGAGGGAAAGCATAGGCAGATACAGGGAATAAGTCAAAATAGATATAATGTTTCTACTGTCTGTTGGTTTGTCTGTATAAAATATCCCATATAGCAAGAAATTCATTGCTCTTTGTCCTCTTTATCCGCAATGGATAGATCAATCATACACATGCAAATGTTAATATATTTGAATATTTGATCGAGCTTGAACTTCTGCTGAGAGCATGAAAAGAGTCTCACTTAGTCAGGCCATGTCGACTAAAGACTTATCGATATGAATAGACCTCCCAGACGTCAGTTTGTTAAGTAAGGCTCTCATAACGTGATGCTTCCAGGTGCTTTAAGTTATTTTCCCGCAATAGTTTGTAGCTCTTAGTGGACCTGGACCTGTAACAAGGAGTAATCTACTGGCTATTTCTCTCTCTCCCTCTCTCTCTTTTTGCGTTACTTTACTTTGCAGACTCAGACTCTAGACTAATACAACAGTTTCCAAATCACAACATATCGATAACATATCTATAGTAGATCAACGCGCTTTGCACCACTTTTGCCACACAATGCACTTAAGATTTACACTAACTTACCTACCTATAACACTTGGCCAGTACGAAGAAAAGACTAAGAAACTATGAATTCATAATATTGTAATTCTCGCTGGTTAGCCTTAATGTAGCTTTAAGTTTGTGTTACCCCATCCACATACCGATTCTCTATTTGCCCGTATTTTCTTTCTTTCTWTCTCTCTTTCCAAAACGTGAATGCTCTATGCGATGCAGGCATCATCTACCATGGAGCACAATCAAGCACATCCTCCGATCTGTCACCAATGTCCGAACAAAAATCATTACCACGACGCGGTCGCTCCAGGTATCATCATCAGCAATATCAGTTTTCCACCAATACAACACCGCGTCATCACAATAGCAACAAAAGCAACAACATCACAAACACGGCCACTAACACGAACACAGCCACATCAGTGAACAGCTCGAGCAAAATTCTGTCACCGCGCAACGGCAGCGGCAATCTGAAATCCATATCGAGCACATTCAAATCACAAGACTCCATACAATGCCACATACCCACGTTGGTCAAATCGCCATCGATAAGCACACAACAGCAACACCAGAAACAGTTCCACAAACAACAGTCGAATAGTAAGCCCGGCCCTAACCAGAACCAGAACCTGAACCAGAACCAGAACCAGAGTCAAAACCAAAACCAAAACCCCAATCATAGTCAGACCCAGTGCAGTAGTAGCAGTAGTTTGAAGCAACAGCAACCGCTGCTGATCCAGCCCAAGCTCCATCAGCTCGAGCAGACGGCCACGCATGCTGGTGGCCAGGAGCTGTTGGGCTTGGACGGAGGCGTTAGTACCCTAGCATCTGTTGTGCCCGTTACTTGCATGCCACCCTCTTCACAGTTTCGCCCCATTCCACACAAGTCCATAATGCCCGCGCATGACTCACACCAAAACCACCATCAGCAGCTACACCAAGGAGGGGGCGGTGGCGGCCTGCTGAATCCCTCGACGGCTCTGCTGTCCTCGAAGTTCTTCACGGCGCCGACGCTGCCGTTGCCCAAATAGGATACGGCCAATGGGGGGAGTGAGTACGGCGGCGGAGGCGGGGCTGATAGCAGCAGCTTCGGCTATAATGGCGGCGAGATATCGTGCACCTACATGGATCCCATAGATCACACATGAGACTTGGCCTACGGTGAGGTGTGTGGGCCCGAGGGCGCCCATTAGCCAGCAGCTCTCGGCAGCAAGCACACCACACCACCACCAACCACCATGTACACAACTTGGAACACTTGAACACATCTARGTCTCTCTCTCTCTCTGTCTCTGTTATACTGAATGCTTGAGTGTGGTTGCTAGAGAACTCAAATAGTATCAAACAACTCTGGATACTCTTCTTCCCCTTACCAAACCATGCAGAGCTGGCATCCTGCGCACGCTGCACCCGCTCCAGCTGCAGGCCGAGTGCAGCGCCGGCGCCTTCCACCACGGCGAGCGCGACGGTGGCGATCACATTGAGCTGGCCGAGGTTGAGTGCGATGTAGACACGATTAAGAAGTTGAAGCTGGGCCAGCGATCCTCGCTGTGGTCGCGCCCGAACTCCACCACGTCCCAATTGCAGCCGGATCATCAGCAGCAACAGCAGCAGCAGCAGCAGCACCAACAGCAACAGCAGCAGCAGCAGCAACGTCAGCAACAGCAACCACCACACAAGCGAGCACATTCAAAGTCTCCGCAGCCGCAGCAACAGCAGCCCCTGCAACAGCAACGCCCACAGCAGCATTCACCCGCTCCAGGCCAGAAATTGCTTAGCGAGAAATCGGATTATTCGATATCTGTGTGAGACATTGGTAAGATCTGATCCAAGCCTGATCAGCAGCTAGGATGAGGTCGGCCAATGGACCACCAGATGGCAAACAATTGAATGAAAGTGAAACTAAATTTGGGCATTCGTGAGTCGTGAGACTCCTTGAGTGGATTTTAGGTATGCAGCAACAACAGCAGCAGCTGCGCCGTACCTACACTTATGTAATGCCACCAACTCCCGTTACATCCGCTCTACCCCAAGTCCACACCGCCCCGCATTGACCCAGTAACCAACCAACCAGCTTGACAACCCAACCCCAACCAACACAAAGACAAAACACAAGAACTTTCGGACAATCAATCTCAAAATTATTTGCACAACCATCGAGAGGCGGGGCAACTCGCCCAGCGCACCCACACGCACACTCTTCCCATTTGTTACTCTCTCCATTTCCCCGTAATCACATAGCGCTCATATAACCGTATAAACTTACAAATATTACAAAGTATTAATAACAACAACTACATAGGTAATAATAATTACGATTTGTGCATGTTGTACTACGGCATGCACCCACAACCCAGGTCAGTTATCGAACTTCCAAATGTTGTACATAGACTCGTATATCTATCTATCTATACGCGTATATCCGTTATAGACCCGATCCAATCTAATCGAATCGAATCGAAGCTAATCTAATCTAGTGTTAAGTACTAACGACTTGTGTAACTCGAACTACTAACGGCGTGTAACTCGAATACTAATGCATATACTAACGCGTATTACTCGTACTACCCATAATCGAACTGTTTTTCTATGAATGTATGTGTGTAGAGAGGTTGTACGAATTTTGTAGTTTGATCAATGCAAAAACTGTTTCTTTATTCTTTTTTTTTTTATTGAGTTATATACCGTCTATACATACATATATAGGTAACGTTTAGGGACTTGAGATATTTTTGTAAGTTCCCTCGAATTGAATCCGCATTCTCCACATGTAAAACGAGGAATTTAAAACATGCAATTCAAACTAACAATTAACTCAAGACATATGCTGTGTACAAATCTATTTATATTTATGTCTAAAATACTAAAATCTAATTGTCTGTACATACACACACACACACAGACATACACACACACACAGTTACACTGGAATCAAGAAATCTCTAGTTGTTAGCGCTACATTTTGTAAATAGGCACAAGTAAAACGAAATTGACTGAAACAAAAGATCAGAAACAGAAATAACTTCATAATAACAAATATATATATATATATAGAATGAAGAATGTTAACTAAATGTATTTGATATATTCAATGTATACACGAACGAGCACGAGCACGAGCACGAGCACGAGCACGAGCACGAGCACGAGCACGAGCAGGAGCACGAGCAGGAGCTGGAGCAGGAGTCGCCAGCTGAATCAGTATTCATATGCGATAGACGATACGAAGATATTTGATATACATATGTTTTATGACACGATGTCGCAGCATCTACGCAATTAGTGTTCCCAAACAATAATCGGTCGTTCGCCAGCGTGTAGATAGATGTTTTTAACACCAAAGTATAGAAATCAAAAGCAAATCGTAATCAAATTAGAAGCAAACATTCAAGAGCTCTCGGGCAAATAGATGCAGAGAAGGAAGGCAAGGAGGAAAGGCCAAGTGAGGAGAGCAGAAAAGCAACTACAAATTACAATTAGTGAATATGAATAATCCACGTATTAATTAGGTGTATTTTAAACTAGCCAACAAAACTTATATGACGTCTAGCCGACAAGACATCAGAGAACTTTCAGAACCGTTTAGGAAACCATGTGCCAAAATTTGTTTGAAAGCAAAGTCAACAAGAAATCGTATTAAGAAAATATACAATAAATAAAGCCGAATGGATTTATTAGCTCCATGGAAATAAAAAAAAAAAAAAAAAAACAAAACAAAAACAGAAAACAAAATAAATAAATGCGTTATATAAGTATATAGCAACTTCAGAGATAAATTTATATATATACAACTATATATAGGTTGTCAGACAGACAGACGGACAGAAGAGGGCCAGAGGGCCGCGGACTCTTGGCAGCCAAAAGAGTCTGCGAATTCGAGTTTCATTTGCAAAAAAAAAAAAAAAGTATTTAAACAAAACTAGACACTTGATAGAATTCGTATGAAGCACTTTTTTAATTATTATTTATCAATATATATATATGTATATTATAGTATATATGTATGTATATAATCCAGCAATGGAGTTGCAGTATTTTTAATCCGTTTTTATATGCATTTATTTATATAATGTGTAATAAATGGTTTATTAAATTTAACATCGAATTTTACGAATTTAACACAAAGTTGCAAATTGAAAATCACATCACACAGCAAGTCTGCGAATCAAAGCAAATCAAATCAAATTGAATCGGATTGAATCAAATTGAATTAGATTGAATCATATTGAATCAGATTGAATCAAAAAATCGCATTTTACTCGAACAACCAGAAAATACAATCAAAAGGCAAAAACAACCAAACGATATACTTATGTCTGTATGGGTAAAATAAGCAAACAACAATTTTTATGTTTAACAATATAATTAGCACAAAAAAGCAAACAAAAAATAAAACAAAAGCAAAAAAAAAAAAACTACAAAATAAAAACTATTAATGTAAAAACAAAATGAAAACCATTAAAGAGTAAAAATTAAACAATTAAATATGTTTTTTTTTTTTATAAAATGTTAATGTCGGGACTGATCAATTAGTGTTGGAGATATCCGGAGCTAAGCGAAAAGTCAGAAAAAAGCGGAAAAAGTAAGATTGCCCATTAGCTAAAACGACTACATTAGAATCCGATTATAACGACACCGAAGGCATCGTCGTTATATCTGGAAGACGCTATAACCATATAGATTTACTCAAATAATTTTTTCGTACGGACGGACGCTTTAAGGGGAGTCGGAAAGTGAATTTCGTAAGTGACCCTAAGAAGGTTTCAGCATCGACAGACAGCTGGGCAAGTCATCTCCACTACTAAATGAATCTAACACTGAAGATCTTTCGGACGGTCAGATAAACATGGCTAAATTTACCCCGCTCGTCGCACACGTCCAGAATACATATAAATAATGGGGGCTACCGCGCCCTTTTCTGCCTGTTACATACATTGTGACAAAACAATGACACCCGGACTTTCCATTTTCAGTGGACACAGGGTATAACGAAAATAAATACTCACAGCGTGATTCATTCGCAGGGTGACTCATTCAACAACAAAATCTAGACTTGAACATTTGTTTATTTATCCTAAAATAAATGTAGTCTTGCAATCCGCCAATCTTTTCTTTCCCAATATTAAATAAAATTTATTCGTCGACTGCATTTATGCTGCATAATACGTAGATTAGATAAGACTCAGATAAGTATTTTGGTGAGCGACTATTTATTAAATAATATATATTATAAT